TGCATGATATCCCAACTTATACGCATTCATTTCATCTCATCCAAAGTAAACTGATGGTTGCTGTTCTACAAGGTGTCTGAATACCATAGACTTTTTCGATTACTGTGCAATCTCTATCGTAGTCATCATATCATAGTCTTCTCCAATGTGTAAAACAGCTGGCTGCCCTTCAACTTTGACTTGTTGCAACTGCTGTTCTCCGAACATTCCTAATCATATCAAAGATGGAGAGCCTTAAAACTATGTGATCATTCAGATTGATTGAAGTGTTAGGTTTGTGTAGGGGTGGCAAATGTGCGGGTTAGGCGGGGTTTGGACTGGGTTAAAAATGGGCGGGTTAAACATGGGTCAAGACCCATATTCAACCCGTTCAGAACAGGTTGAAAATGGGCGAGTAAAAAATGTATAGGGTCAACCCATTATGGCCCGTCGATCCATTGATTATTAATTTTTAATTATTTTTTAAAAATTATATTTAAAAAATGTATAGGCTCAACCCATCAAGACCCATATTGATGTTTAAAAAAAAAAAAATTTTAAATTTTTTTTATATTTACAAACATGGAAAAGGAAAATGTAATTTGCATATTTCTTAAAAAAAAAAAAAAATTGACTAGTGAAACTCGCCTGACCCGCCAAAAATATTAATGTTTAAAAAAAAAAATTTTCTTAAAAATTTTGATGTTTAAAAACATGGAAAAAGAAATTGTAATTTGTATATTTGGAAAAAAAAAAAAAAATTGACCATGGAAACTCGATCGACCCGCCTAAAATATTGATATTTAAAAAATAAAATTTTCTTAAAAATTTTGATGTTTACAAATATGGAAAAAGAAAATGTAATTTGCATATTTGAAAAGAAAAAAAAAAAATTGACCTGTGAAACCCGACCGACTTGCCCAAAATATTGATGTTTAAAAAATAAAATTTTCTTTAAAATATTGATGTGACTCACAGTTTACCCTCTTTAAGGATTTCGTCCCTAAAATCCACCATTCTTAAAGAGAAAACCATGCCAGCCTTTTTTCCTATGCCATCCTTTCAGTCAAACAACTATTCCATTACTTATTCCCCTATCACCACAACGCAAAAAGGAAATATCCCCGACTGCCTCTAGCCAACTAATGATCCATAAACAGGCTCAAAGAAATGAACATCCATCAACACATCACCCTAGCATGTCAAGATTAAGTTAAAACTCTAATTAGCCACTACTAGCAAAACTGCACTCAATTGAGAATCCAATTCAACCTATTGGTCAAACCTAAGAACGTCACAACATCGACTTCATCACTTTTACTATCCAATCCAACGTTTAAACCAAGTACTTATAATCAAGTTGTTCAACAACCTCGAGAAACTCGTACTACTAGTACCATCACTATTACTATCGTTGCTACCAGTCATTCTAATACCGTTCAAAAGAATACTCCCAAACCTCAATCACACCAATCACTAGATAATACACACTCTCTTTGATATGATAGTCTGACTAGCGACCAATGCCTGTCCATACATACTCACAAGAACGGTAGTCTCGTTGGTGTATAGGACCAGCCCACGCATACTAGTCAGCATGGTCGCATTGTCAGTACCTAGCACCTGCCCACATCATCTTCATACGTAGGGTAGCATCACCAGCGCCTAGTACCAACCTATGACATATCCCCGTCTAGGCTACTCACGAAACTTCTCAAAACGATAAGTGTCTCTAAGGACACGAATAATCATTACCCTAAGTTTGACAGTATTATGGTAATTTGTTTCGAGCTAGAATATGATCTATAAATGTCCGCCTGGTCCATTTTGGTCAATCCCACCTGTTTAAGGCCTAAATCCTCAAATACCCAATCAAACCCATACCTTTCCAAGTCACGAAATCTCTAAGACGTAGATCATATAACTATCAGACCACACAACTACCAAGGGATGAATATAACCCAGAACCCATGAAACTCATCACTAGCAACATCAACACTTCATATCTGTACATCATATACTGCATCAAACTAAGGACTCCAAAAATACAAAGACCAATGACTTACTACGGCACTCTAACACATCTCTTACATCCCAAAAGAATCTATTCTCATAACATTCCTGAAACTCAGCGAGTCTACTCTATCAACAAATCCCTGCCAAAACTGACCCCTTCTACAAAACGTGACTATAACCTATGGATACTAGAGTCGTAATCCCCACACATGCGCCTCACCTCATAATCCTGGCTAGTAATGCCACAACCCCATGCAACAGACACATAAAACTGATACATGATATGTACTCGACATAAAACCAACTACCTTTGGGTTATAGACCCGTCGATAGTAACTCGCAATAAGAGCCCTGTCGTGTCCTTTGGGAACATCTAACAATAACCACGATCACTATCCAATCCAATGCATACCATAATTGCACGATCACCACCTCAGGGGCCCATGAAAATTAAAATAAACTAAGTCACCCTTTTATACTAAAATCAAATATGTGGGTCCATTTTCCACTTAAACGCTTAAAATGGTCCGTTTAAGTACCAAACACTCGCAAACGACACAACACAGTGCAAAACAGATAATCTCAACGTAAATGAAGAGCACAGTGATGTCGAGAAATTTTCTGAACATGAAAATCCGTCGCGGGGCCCACCCGACACTCCCAGACACGAAAATCGAAACTGACCCAAATGAGTTTCTAAGGATTCTAAACCCGAAGGAACGTCCCAAATAAATTTTGGAACACCGTGACACGCATCTTCGTGCACAAATAAAATTAAATAAAAATGCCCAAAAAATATAGATTTTGTCATTGTTAGGATATGGCTATATATATATATGTGTGTGTGTGTGTATACACCATGATATGAGCTTGAGTTCTCCGGATCGATGGTTAGGAAAGCTATATTATCCCCGGATGCGTAGCTGGATATATAAAATGTGAGTATGCCATAGTAGATGATGGTACTCATGACTATACATGTGTTTTGCATGATGCCTAATATTGGGATGAATCTGCCTTATAGTTCCAATAAGAGTCTTTAGTGTGTATCTATATATATACTAACTATGTAGTTATTGCATGAGTTGACTATGATGTATTTGTTCATTAGGTCTCTGTGGGATGTAGTTGAAAGAACTTGTTTATGAGTCTGACTCACTATTTATTTTTCAGCTTTATGTAAGTATAAGGTGTAGATATTGTTTGTGCAGAGTAAAGACCAGTTATCATCACTCTTCTAGTCATCTACGTATGATTCTAGTACATATTTTCAGTATTCGGATGTAGAGAGTTATTACTGTTATTTATTTCAATTTGGGATTTTATTGGGGTCCACATAATATGGATTTCTGAGATGTATTTTGGAAGATTATTGTTATCAAAGGAGATTTTTATTTAATGAAAGTTATTTTGAGGATTTAATTATTATTCTAGTTTTCCTTTCAACATTTTATTTATTCTTTTGTATTCTGTATTCGTTTATTGCCATATTGTTTCTGATATCCACGGGTCTTCGAGCGTGAGCCTAGCCAAATCACACTTTGAAATTCGGGGGTATTATAGTTGGTATCAGAGCACTTTAGGTTCAAGTGTCCGTAGGGTGTCTTTCGTTATGTGATTTCTGCGTTGCGTCTCTTGATACTTAGAGCCCATAATATGATTCATTGTACTCTATTTACAGTCTATTAGGGTGAGCTGATGTCAAATATATTCTATAGTTGTAGAATGGTTGACATTAGGAAAATAATGGATTTGAGGCGGAAGTAAAAAGAATACGTTATTGATTTCTCTGTCCGAAGGCAAAATTAGCGGTTCGCGCTACTTCATAGTATAAGCCAATGAGAATTTTAAGTGTACATGATGGGTCAACTTATTTCGAAGTCAACATAACCCAGCTGTTCTAATAAAACCAAAAAAAAAAAAAAAAAAAAAAAAAACCCCCCTAAGAGCATCTCCAATGGGGCTGATATGGGCTGTCAATTCAAAATATAGCAGGTGGGCTTAAAAATAGGCTCTCCAATGCAATGCTAAATGGCCTGCTACTTTTTAACTTTTCTATTTCTTATGCCAATTGTAGCACAAGAAATAGCCGTAGCTATTTCAGAGAGAGAGAGAAGCTATTTCAGAGAGAGAGATGGGGTTTCAGATCTATATATATATATATATATTTAAAAAAGATCATAAAAAATTTCACCAAATAGGATTTAGTTTGCAAAACAAGAATTACAGACCTTGATTATAGGAAAAAAAATAGAATTATAGACGTTCATCATAAAATAGAATTATAGAAAAAAAAAATTAAAACAAAACCCATACATACAAGTTAGCAGTTGCAGAGAGAGAGGGGGGCAAGCTTGAGAGTTGAGAAACAGCAGCTAAAGCTTGCGAAGGGCGAACCCGAACTGGAATAACGGGTGATGGAAACTGAAAGATATGAGTTTTGATTTTTTGAACAATCTGAAATGATTTAGCCGAGAGAGGGGGCAAGTTTAGTGAGAACAAGAATAGAAATGGAGGCGACTGGGGAGGCTGAAATGATTTGCCCTAAATATATACTATACTTTTTCCAGGGTCATGGGCCTATAAATTATATAGTTAAATATATATAAATTATATAATTAATTATATGGGTCATGTGCCACTCTTTTTTTCTTTTGTTTTTTATTTTTTATTTTTCCTTTTTTGACAAGATATTTTAGATTTTTACTTCTTAATTATTTACAACCTAATTTGGAATGCGCCTAATATTAATATTACTGATGCAAATATGAAGGGTGGGAATGATAGTTAAAAAATAATAATAGTTGTGTCAAAAAATAATATTTTGCATAAAATGTACCATTGAACATAATTAGTAAAATGTAACATTTTGATAGCTATAACAACGTCAAAATATATGACTTTTAGTATTGGAGGTGATCTAAGGATGAGATTTTGGAGCAGTACTTATTTATTTAATTCATTGCTAATTCCTTTTTACCTCTTAAAATTTCTACCAAATTTTATATGCACATAGCTCAGAATACACGTGACGATAGCATCGACACACTGGATTTGATTTTCTCAGAGCTGAGTGTGTACCCGCAATGAGCTTAGCGCTTCTCCAAAGCTATTCTTCGGCCGAAGAAGACGACGAGAACGACCATCTCCAATTCCAAAATTCCTCAGATGACGAGGAAGAAAACGACGACGTTTCAAGGAACAACCGTTCGGTGGGCAACAAACCCTTGTTCGACTTCTCAAAACCCTCCCCCCTCGCCTCCGGTGCCGGATCTTCCCTTCCGTCGGCACTCGACGCATTCTCCGAAGTAATTCATTTTCTCTCTCTACATATATATATATATATATATATATATATAAAAATGTATATATTGATTTTCCATTGCTTAATCACAAATATTCAACACTGAGCTAATCTTTTCCTTTTTTTTTTTTTTAATTATTGGTAATTATCGGAGGTTTCAGGGCCGCCGCAGTTTCTGAACAATTGCATTGAAAAACCAGATTCGGCTGCTAGAGATGACGGGCACCGATGGCGTGGCCGGAGAAACCGCAAAGAGAGAAAAGATCTACCCGCCGGTAATTATGTTTTGAGTGATGGTGTCAATTACTAGTATTGTGCAATTCATGTTCTCGGTACCTTCATAACACTGTCTATATTGTCCATAAAACATTTAATATAGTATATGAAAAACCTAATTTTTGAGTGATTGTGTCAATTACTAGTTTTGTGCAATTCATGCTCTGAGTACCTTCATAACACTACACCATAAAACATTTAATATAGTATTATAGGAGAAACCCTATATCACTATTGCAATAATTAATACTCCAAATTAGTGGGTTTTTCTGTTTTTGTTTTTTCTTTTAAAGTTGAATGTTATAACAAAACTCGAGATAGATCAAGATCTTATCATGTAAGTATAACAAATTTTCTCTTATTTTAGCAATCTGTTTTTATCCTTTGTCAAATTTTTGATCCAAATTGAAGCTCGATCTTGTTTAAGAGTTGTTCTACATCACAGACACAAAACCCTACTTGCAAATTTGAAATTTACTTTCTATTAGAACAAAATTTAAATATTTGGTAGAACTTTTTTTATATGACTAGCTAGTGTGATCAACTCTCTACTGATTATGGCCTGTTCTTCTTCTTTTTATTGGGTTGTAGTACATCACTGATTGATTTCTGGTTCATTAGCAGTTTTACTCAGTAATTGTTTAGAGAAAAAAGAGTCATTTTTTGGCATTTACATTGAACAAAGGTTATGTACTGGTCTATACTGGTTGATGACTTGTGGTTGTAGATTGAAGACTTGGTCGAAAGATCGTATCAGTATCTTCTTTCAAATTCCTTTAATAATACAGTTTAGAAAAGATAAGTGATCTAAAAGACTAGGATTTTCAATGATTAATATTTAATTAAATTGATTTAAAAAGTTCATAGTTGATTTTTTTTTAATGGGTTAAAATTGGTTTAGTTTTCAGGAAGCTTAGATTTTAGGTTTGAATTAAAAATCAAATAAAAAGTAGGTTTTGACAAGGATTTGAAGATGCCAAAACTGACCTTTGTGCCTTTAAAAAACCACTAAAAATAATCTACTTGGAATTTTGTGATAAGTTTCGTATTTTCAAAAACTAGACTTGATAAGCTTTACATGTATATATTATGTGCCTAATTTTGAGTCGGTTTGACCGCTCAATAAAGCACCTAAAGTCAGTTTTTCTGCACTTGCAGTTAGGTTCAATCAAAAGCTCGGTTCGGGCAAACCTTGATTTTGATTAGTCAAACTCACTCTAGAATGCTTCCATCAAAGTTTATTTCAATTGAACTACCATTGGTCCCATGAGATATCTTATAAAAATCATGGTTCCCTAAACTGGTACTGGCTGGTTCGAAATGAATACGGCAGTTGTCGAGTCTTGATTCCAGTTTTTGTTGATTTGTCGACGAGAAAAGACACAATAAAACAGGCCAGTTCTCGGAAGTCTTGCCGGTTTAGCCAAGTAGCAGTCTGTTCTATTGTGACTAAATGATTCGTAATAGAATTACCCAGTTCTCAGGGAACTGGCTGGTTCGTAGTGGATTTGGGCTAGGAAGTAATCCCTTTTGTATCAGCTATTATACCACATGTTAGGAATTAATCCACCCAAGATCACACACAACAAATATGAAATGACAACAAAGAAAAAATAAGATGAAAATCACATACACTAATTTTTATTTAAAGGAAAGAGAAGATTACAACTCTCAATGGATTACCAAGAGTTATTCTACACTCACTCACTAGAAGAAGACACCCACTCTTCTAAAAGGAATACACTCACTCTTGGCCCTCAATATCTCTCTCTCTCTCTCTCTCTCTCTTTATCTCACTGTTCTTATTCACTCGGCTCTTCACTTTTCTTCACACCTGTGCTATTGGGCTCAACACACACATATATATACTCTTTTTCCGACTTGCATTGCCGACATTGCAGCTGGCTCAAAGCTGTACCAATCTTCCATTGGATTTTCAGCGCCGCAGTGTAAGCAAGCAAAGCAAATACTCATTTATTCTCTGTTACTTCTCTTTCATGCAACACATGCATTTAGCCACACAACACGCTCCAAGCAGGTTAACCCATGTCACCATGCCACTCACATGCACCAATCGTACATTCTTACTTTCATTCATGCATTGTTGACAACCATTGAATGACTCGTAATTTTCTCCATTAACCAACACATACATCACTTTAGCCACTAATTTTTAGCCAACTCAACAGGGATCGTGTCCAACCTGATGGTGAAAAAAGGACTAAGTTGAGAATCGAACCTATGATCATTGATAGGAAGAGCAAGTACCTTTGCTACCCAACCAAGTTCCATCCTATGCTATTCTGTGAGAAAGATTACCAAGAGAAAACATTGAGAGTTCTTTTATTACAAAGTAGGGTTGTCAATAGAAAATCATATTATGCTATTGCGAGAGCATCATTGAGGACTTGAAGATCATCAACCACAACATGCATCAATTATTGAGTGAAGAGTTGGATGGCTAGCAACAGAGATCAATCACTATATGATAAGCAGATTGCATTGGTGAGTGGGTTCATTGATCGATAACATCAGAGTTTGGAGTAGAACATCTGATGTGAGTTTGGAGTAGAACATCCTTAATCGTTAAAAAATGTAGTTGAATCTGTGGTGCACTTGTTGTAGACACACTTGTAGTTATTTAAGTCTATGCAGATAAAGAAGTTTAATAATAACAATTTCTAAGTAATCTTAATTATTCTAAATATTTGATTTTATTAAGTCACAACTATTATCAAAAGTTATTTGATTTTATCGTTGGTCTATTTTGTGGTAATGCTGGATGGCATGTGCATGCTAATTTGCATTTTGTACTTGCTTTGCTGCTCATACTTGCTAATTTTAATTGTAAAAAGTTTCTAACATGCTTGAATTGATTACATAGTGATAGCTTCCACGATTTCCTTGGTCCCAGAAAGGATTGCTAGATATAGACAGATATTTTCTTTCTTCTGTATAGCTTACTATTTCCAAGTTGAAATATCCTGCAATTTTGATTTTGTAACAATGGATACCCTAGGTTACGTCACAACGTAGTTGTCTATTGAGCTGCTTGACATTTTAAAAAAGTATAGGACATGTGGCGCAGATAAGTTCCACCGAATTTTGAATGAGATATTTCATAGTTTAGATTAGATAAAATTATAGAATTGAAGTTTCTTCCAGTTGATTGGACATTCCTGATGGGGTTGCTTCAGTTAATCATGTTTCAAGGCAGTAGTTTTAGAAGAAACCATGCAAACAATAAAAGTAAATCTCATTTGCTGAATTAATAGTGGTTTATATTTTCTTGGCATTATGCATTTCAGTATATGATTTGGAGAGTGCTGTCTTTCTTCTTCTTCTCTCTCTTTTTATTTATTTATTTATTTTTCTATGGGTTTGATTGCAATCTATTAGTCTGAAGTTTTCTATTATGTATTTTATAGGTGCTGTACTAGAGTCCAAAGCACATTTAGTTGGAATCCATGAGCGAGTAAGAAGTGATATTGGGGGTAACTCTGCTCCAACATCGTCAGATCAAGCTCATGGTTCTTTGAGCACAACACAAGGAGTCAAGCGTGTTGCAACTGCAAGCAATCCAAATGCAGAAGATGCGGCAGAGCTTCTAAGGTCATTTCTTTTCTTGTTAAAGTGAATTGAGCCTATAGAGCATATTTTCATTTGTGTTCCTCCTGTTACACTTAGTAGTGTCAAAAATTCAAACACATTACCTTGTTCTCCTTGTCTTTATATATATGTATGTGTGTGGGTGTATATATGTCCTAAGCCTTTATGTGTATGAAAATGTGCGTGCACGCTGATGACCAATTGACCATTAGCTAGGGCCATTATTTAGTGCATGCAGTGGTAAAAAAATTCATGCTTCCAAGCATGAAGGTTCTAGTACGAGGTAATCACATTGTGCAAATAATGGCAATATGAGGTTCATACCCATACTTTCCCTCTTATCATCCTCGGCAAACAAAGATTGGCACTTGGTAGTGGTCTTTAATTATGGTGGCAATATTCGTGCTCCGAATAGGAATTTTTGTGCTCCATTCCTTATTCCAAGATAAAAAGGATATGACAGCAAAACCTATCACTCCTTCAGCCCCACTTAAAACACTTCTGCAGAACTTTCTTGTCTCTCTCTCAAACCCCCACATGGAGAGACCTTCCAGAACAAGACTCACCTCTCTCTCTCTCTCCTGTGCGAACTTCTACCTACACCATCTCCCCCCTCACCCACCTCTCTCCCCCCTCCCCCCCCCCCCCCCCCCCCCCTCTCTCCTCCTCTCTCTCTCTTTCCCCTTCCTATCTCCATTTTCCCATGCCAATACTCTGCCATTCTTCCTCTTCTAATTTCTTTCTGTGTTTTTGTTTCTTTTTGGACGTTAGAGGAAATAGAAACAAGCTCAAACAACAGAGCCTCTAGAACTCAATGTCTGCTGCATCGATGAGCAAGGTGGTGGCTTCTCCCATCTTTCAAAGACCATCGCCCCAACCTAAATTATCTTTCCAACTCCTGATTTCTCTCTGGAAATTTTGCTTTTAATTAATCTCTTTGCCTTGTGCTTGCATATGGCTAGGGTATTCCTTCAACTCACGCGAAAATGATGGGTAGGACTTCATTTTTCTAATATTTTATTTTGATAACTAAAACGGTGGGTAGATTCCCCCATCAAAATCATTTCAAAACTCCACCAATATTTTCTCTGAATCCCCTTCTAGTCCATATATATCCACTGTAGAATTTAGTTCTGTTTTCTGAAACCCTTGAAGCCCTTCAAAAATCAAAATTTGGTGGTCAAATGCTGGGTCTCTAGTCAATTCCTAACTGTGGGTTGCAGAATTCTCAGTTCCCAAGTCCCACCAATCAATTTATGGTGATTTAGTAAATATTAAAGTTATCAAGTGCAATCATAAAAGCCCAGGTGTTAATACTGACCACATTGCCAAAAACACGAAAAGGACAATAAAATACTATCAAGTTATTGCCCCTCATGTAGCTTGTGCTAATCATGAGGTATCTGCCATACTAGTTGTGGAAGTTGTAGATAAGTCCTTGCACCTGCAGTTGGGCAAGAGGAGCAAAATTGATAAAATCTTAATATTTCAGGGAATCAAAATTTCGGCACCATGAATAATTCATCAATTAGTTTATTATTATTATTTTTTATTTTCTTCTTGTCTGGCAATTAATCTGTTAGTACTTAGTATAGACATAAATTAGCTTATTATTTCAGTGAAAAACCAAAAACATATTGGTTATTTCACAATAGGCAGATATAACTCCCAGTCCCAGACTATTAAAAGTTCTGTAACATTAAGATAAGTATTGACCCAAAAAGTGTTACACAAATTGTTGGTCCCCGTTAATCGTTGGTGCTGGGACTGGGAAGGATGGACTAAGTACGAAATACAAACCTAACCTATGGAGATTATTTGCAGAAAGTAGCTGCCCTTAGACTTTCTCAAACTTGGCAGCTTGAACTTTACCACTTGCCAAGCTATGGTTCCTAGAGATGACCTACCTGCCAAAAAGAGAAAAAAAAAAAAAAAATATATTGAAGTGACCTGCTGTTAATATTTTGTTCTATCTGAAGAGAAACGATGTCTTTGTATTTGTTGCACTTGTAGTATTGTGTATGTTTGTTGTGCTTCTGCACCTGAATTTTATCCTACTCTGAAAGGGGAGATTTCTGTTTATAGGATGTGCCTGCAATGTGGTATACCCAAAACATATTCTAGTGCACGTGGAATGGTCTGTCCTGTTTGTGGTGATCGTCCTCCTGCTGACACAGACAAAGAGGCAGCAAAGAAGAAGGGTTCTGCCATTAAAGACAAAGAGAAGAGTAAGAGGATGAAGGGCCAGTCATCACATGCTACGTGGAAAAGTGAGACAGAGATGCAGCTTCGACAGCAATTTGATTAGAACTTGAAGATCACTTTCAGAAAATACCCGGGTAGTGTGACATGTTGTAGGAGTAGAATTCTATAATTAAAACTAATGGACTGCTGCAGTTGAACATCATTGGTTTATTAGGGAATGTACAATGTACATTACGCTTTTGACTTTCTTGTATTCTTGTATTCGAAGATGAAACTATGTTTGCCTGGATTATCTGTGGTTATACTGTGTAATTGGTTACAGATTTTAGAATTGAATATCAAATTGAAACCTTGGAGAGGCCTTGTGAGGAAGTTTGTGGAAAGGGATGTGGAATTGTTGGAAAGGAAACAAATCTTCAAATATTCTGGAAGACAACTTTAAAATTTCAGCGGACGCTGCAAACCATTTCCTTAGATTTTTGTCTACGAATTCCGTAGGAGAATGCTGCATTTCCTACCCTTTTGTACCTCTTTTATTTTACAGAAGCTTGGAATAGTTTCCGATACATCTCTTGGAACTGAAACTCCCTAGTTTTCTGAAATAGGCCTTTCAAGGAATGGTTAACTGCACTGTTCTTTCTTTGTGGTTTCGAAGCAGCAGATTGGCAATTTTGAAAGTTCGTTCATTCCATATCCATCTTGTAATGTGATTTAAGGTTTTGAATTTATTATGTGCTTCTGCAAGTTTAAGAAATTTTGGATTTAGGGTGAGGTTTTTATTTTTATTTTTTATTTATCAATCTTTAGGGTGAGTGTGAACGCAGTTTCTGTGCCAAAGTTGAGCTGGGACTAAACTCCAGCAATGGGTTGTCGAGTCATGAAGCTTTTTCTTGTCAATCACTTTTTAAATTTCCCAATAATTTACTTTACCACTTAGTTACCACTGCAAGATACGTTTCACTTTCCATATATATATATATATATATATATATTCCTGAGCCACTTTGGAAAAACTAATTTTATATAGGCAATGTAGATAAAGGAAGATAGAAAGGTGTACATAAAGGAAGAAATGTGATAAAAGGGAAAAAAATTGCCAAAAAGTTGAGGTTAAACTGTTGCAGGTAAGAAGATAATATTTAATACAAGAAATTATTATATGGTCCCAGAACTATTGGTTTGGGCTAATCACGAATTGATTGCCAATAAAACATATTTGTTTATGTATTGCTTCGTAATTAGTCCAGAACCAATGGTCCGGGGTCTATATAATACGTAGTAATAATTTAGTGGAATCGGTTCAACCTCCACGGACCAAATAGTTGGGCGTCTTTTTGTGCAAAAAGAGAGAGAAAGAAGATAATAATAAAAAAACATATCTGCTTTTTAAAGGCAAGAAAAGTCAGAGTTGGAATCAATGAAGAGGAGAGAAATTTGGACTATATATGTGTTTTTATATGTAAATGTGAATTTTCAAAAATTTAAAAGATTCCAAATTGTGATGCTGCTCAATAGCTTCAGGTTCCACTCCCTCATCAAGATGACCCGGGCTTGAATTCAAATTGTGGGCCTGATTTAGAATTGGGAGACTTTTTTTGGACGTATTTTTCTAATTATTTATTTTCTTAAATATTTGTCAAGCAACTTGTATATATCTACTGACTTGACCATCAATCATATTTTAACTTTAATCATATCAGAGGCTTAATTAATGCTTTTTACTATAATGCTAAAAATATGATCAAAGTTAACATGCATTATTGCCTCTGCCTGTCATATTATGTCAATTATTAAAGACAACATACCTTTATTTCTTCACTCATAAGCAAACAGTCATATAAACTTATACTATTATATATAAGATAATTAACTTATATATGGTTGTTAAATGCTTGTGCTTGTTTATGTGACATAAAGAGATGTACATGACAAGACCTCTTTCAGTTTACCGGAATTGCCCTTCTGCTCTCTCAATACAGGCACCAGAGGCTCCATTTTCAGGTTACTTAGTTGTTAGGGATGAGGAATCAGAAGCACAAGACACCTTTTGTTGGGGTGTTCTGAAGACGAAGAGAGTTACAAAACTACCCTTTCCTCAAGATCAGATCCTCAAGGTTGTTCACTCATCAGAGCATGAAGGTCAGACTTCTGTTACAAAAGTTTGGTTCATCCCAGTTCTTGATCAACCACTCTCATCCAACCGCTACTATGTCATCAGAGCCAAAGGCAAATACAAAGGGTATGCCGTCTTTCTATTATTTTTATAAAACCAATAATAAGCAAAAGCTAGGAATCAATGCAAATTGGTCTGCCACAAAACTTGCAGTTTAACCAAAAAAAAAAAAAAAAATTTCTTTTTGGATATCTATAATTATTGTTTAGTCCAAATGCTATTAAGTCCTAACTTCACCCCCAAATTTTACAGGAAATTACATTGACTTCTTTGGGGTTTGGACAAATTACGCTCAGTAGACAGTTTAGCATTTATTACTTTGACTTCCCCCAAACTCGTTCATCGGTGGCCGGAAAGTGAAATTATTGCATTTATACAAGGGTAGAGCAAAGTTGTCATTTTATAAAATTTGGTCTAACAGGCCTGCCAAAAAAAATGCTATCAGTTTGTAATTTGGCCAAACGTCATGGAAAGTCAGTGTAATTTACCCCAAATTTTGCTACACTTAGAAATCTGGTTAAGTACTAAACTTCTGTGATAACATTGTAAAAAACCCTATAACAGAAAGCAAAATAAGCCAATATATATATATAGCCCAAAGATTGTACTATGACTTTTGTTCTTTTCATTATGTTGAGTTGCTATTTGATTCAAAAGCTTTTGTTGTACTGGCTTTTTATTTATGAATTAATGAGGGAAAATAGATATATGTAGGATGCAATTTAGACTAACTTTGTAGCAACATTTTGCAGGAAAGTTTGTGCATGTTCAAGTGAGGATGACATAGGTAGATGTTGCTTTAGTGAAGCAATTATAGATGTAAAACCAAGACCCTTCGATCACAGAGACATATACCAACAAGTTGAGATTCACTGTCATCACAATAACGGTGCCTTCTACGCCAAGTCTATTGCTCGTGATGGTTTCCCTCCAAAATTCCTAAGAAGAAAAGGATGGGAAGTTCACACCTCCAATTCATTCCATCTTCAACTGAGAGAAGCTCAAGGCCTCAACACCCCTCGACTATTGCACCTCCCGGATTTCAATTTCCCTTTACCTCGTACTCGTTCAGCTCCAGTTGTCATCGGAAAATGGTACTGTCCATTTGTGTTTGTGAAGGAGGAATTGAAACACAAGGATCAAATGAAAAGATCTTCGCTTTACGAAATGGCACTTGAGCAATGGTGGGAGGAGATATATTCAAGCGAAAATGAAAACAACGAAAGCAATACTGTGACGGTGAATGCAAGTGTTCAGAGAGAAGAGTCTCTGGTCTATGGCATGGAAGCTGTGAAAGATGATCAGAGAGAAGGTGATGATGGATTTATGTGGTTTAGAGTCCATGACCAATGTAGGAGGAGAAGGGTGGGTGTGGGCTTGAGTTTAGCAATTGTTGAGAAAATGAGATGGGTGGAAGAGAGAGGAGGGTGGGTTGGTGGGGGAGAGAGGAATGTGAGAGTGGAAAGGGGGGGAGAGAGGAATGTGAGAGTGGAAAGGGTGGAAGAGAATAGAAGTGAGAGTGGGTGGCAAAGGTTTGGTTGTTATGTTTTGGTACAGAGTTTTGTTTTGAGGAGGTTGGATGGACGTTTGTTGCTGAATTGTAAATTTAGACACATTCATAAGATTAAGTGCAAATGGGATTGAAATATATTACAGTTTGTGCATCGAAAGTATATTGATCTCTACTTAAAAATTATTAAAATACTACTTGGGCCTAGTGGTTTTTCCTTAGATAACCATGTCTTAAATGAATCATGTATAAATCCATATATACATCTTTTCTCACTAATGCAACCTTTATCAACACAGCACAAATTTGAATAAAAGAATAAGGTTATGCATGCACAAACAAGACATTAAAACAGCAATACGATATTGGAAAAAATCAAAACATTATATATATCATATATATACGGTAACAGTGCATTGTTGTTGATGGCTGCCGTGCATGAGTGTTTGATTCTAAAATTTTGAATAGATTTATTTAATTCTTTGTCTTATTATTTAAATTAAGATATTAGAAAAAATCAAAACATTAAAACAGCAATACGATATTCAATGGTTAAAATGTAATTTTTTTTTTTTGGTCGCATAAAATTTTGATTAAAAGAATGAGGTTCTGCACAAGCAGGGCTTAATCTATTCCAACCACCAGTCCATTTCCATTAATTACTCGATACAAAATAATAGGTATTTAAAAGTTATTTAACAAAAGACAAAGGAATCAAATGATTTTTATGATTCAACGTGTAATAAAACCAATTGATCATAGTACAAGTGGTATAAAATGAATACCTTATAAAAATAATGTTAGAATTCACACGCAAAATATCAAATAATGGGTTATTTAACAGAAAAAATGGCATCATGAAGTAAAAATAACTAAGCAAATTGTTTTTATGATCCAACGTATAAAACCACTCCATCTTGGTATGAAGTGAATGAGTTTCGAAAATAAAATATTTATGAAATTGATATTAGAATTCACACATAAATTATTCTTTTCTCATTGCATGACTATCCATTATAAATTTAGTAATTTAGGTGGATATTCATATGTATTGTATTTATATTTTGTTGAATGTTTATCAACAACAAAAAAAGACAAAAAAAAAAATCTAACTTAATTTAAACTTTTGAAATATTGGATGAAATTAATTTAAAATGAGTACGAAATAAAGAGAGTCAGAGGCAAGTGTCATCGATGTTGTTGAAATCACGAAAATTGAATTCACAGATGTAACCAGATTTTGTTCCGAAATGAGGAAGATTTCCTTGAGAGGATGAGGTCCAATTGGATTAGTTTCAAATTATCAACATTCAGTTTCATGAAATAGTAATTCTATAATATGAAAGGGTAAGGGTAGGTTTCTGTTGATATGTGGATGGGATGAACAATCGTTCCCGGAAATATTGATATTGTATTTATATTCCGTGTCTAGGTATGAAAATGATATTAGAATTCAGGCACAAATCATTCAATTGATTATACATTTAGTTGGACATTCAGTATGCATTGTATTTATATTTTGTTGAATATTAGTATTTGTGATAAAAAAAAAAGCAATATTAATTTAAACTTTTGAGAAATTGGATAAAATAAAATATATTTTGTTGAATGTTAGTATTTGTGATAAAAAAAAGAAGTAGAAAAAAAGCGATATTAATTTAAACTTTTGAGAAATTGGATAAAATAAAATTAAAAAGCTTCCATTCTCCTAATTATATTATTAAACGAAAAATTTATTAGGAAGAAGTTCGATCATAATCCCACACTGTTCACATTTGTGTTGTATGTTTTAAATATGGGGAACAATTTATTAGGAAGGAGTTCGTTCATAATTCCACACTGTTCACATTTGTGTAGTATGTTATAAATCTGAGGAGGTTAACACACAACAATAATTGGATATTAAAAACATTAAAATGTTGGGGTAAATCACATTCACCTCCCCTCTAATTACGTAAAAGTTCAAACAACCCTCTTATTAATATTATTTATCTCCTTAAAATAATGTGTTTATGAAAAGCCGTGTATACTAATATCAATTTCTTTACGGGAAGCTGTGCATATTATCAATTTACGAATTTGGATTCAAACTGTTGATTTTGAGCTTATTTTTGTTCTTTATGATTACTCTGTAAATGAAGCAGGTGTGATGGTGTTGACCGAGTGGTACAAGACTCAGTAAGTATAAGTGCTTCCCATCCACTAACTATTAACTCTCTTGTCAAGTAAAAAACACAAACATGGAGCAATTTGATGCAAGGGTGTTCGTGAGAGATGAATTGAGCATCATTTGTTAATCATCATGGTCGGAGGGTATACAACGGCATCAATTAGTAAATCGGTGTATAAATCAATATATACATCTTTTCTCACTAATGCAAGCTCTTTCAAGTTTTTTATTACCCTTTTTTAATAGATTCAACTTAGAAATTTTTTTTTCCTTATTGCAATTTGAGGCCTTAATTAGACATGATTTTCTTGAGTTAAAATTTTCATTTATAATGAAAACACTTCAAAGCCAAATAAGAAGTGTTGAGGCTGAAATTCGCCGCGACCTGATACGACACCGTTTTCTGCAAAACCAAGACGGTAAAGTCAAACACCGGTGTGGTGCCGGCCGTTGACCCTCCGACGAACAAGTTAGTAGGAGAGAAATAATTTTTTATCGTAATTTCCCTTGTAGGAGATCTTTTTGTGTGTACCTTATTCCCGAGTCGTCTTCGTATTTATAGTCACTTCCCTTATTCTTGATAAGGGAATTTCATCGTCCTTAGCCCATGAAGTTTATCCCATAGAAATCTTATCCTTGATAAAATTTGAACTTACCCTATGACAAATCTTATCCTTGATACGATTTGTCATCATTCTCATCAAATAGAAATGGTTATCCTTGATAACGAGATATTATCGCTTGAAAGTTGAAGAGGTCTGGCGGCTAGTCAATACTTAATTACCTCTGTCATTAGGTCAAGATAGGTTAGGGTTATTTTTCCCTATCAGTTAGTTGGCGTCGTCTGTGGGAACGACAATTCCCTTATATTAATACTCAGTTGGGTAGATACGTTTGCGATCCGGTATGGTCACTGAAGGAACATCGTTACAGGAATCTGGTCAAAGGGAAGAGTCGGGTGAAAACCTAGACATCCCAAATGACCAGGAGTGGCTTGCAGCGTTGGAACAACAAGTCCAAACTCTGAATCAGGTTATGGACCAGTTGATCCAGCAAAATGCAGCAATCCTGCAACACCTTGTTCCACCGGTTCAACAGAACTTGCCACGACAAGATCTCTCGAACCCGAATAGAGGTAATGGGAATCCTGAAGGGCAGGATAATCATCCTTCTCGACATGAGACCGAAGTGGAGCAAAGCCAAGTAGGGAACCGATATAGAGAAGTGATCTACCCATCTCTTCCACAGAGTTCCCGATCTCATGAAAACACAACTGTCGTTGAAAAGACAGAGGAGATTTCCCACGTTGACCCAGAGATACAAGATCTCAAGGCAAAGATGGAGGACGTGATACAGGCCATAAAGGGAAAAGGTATTGCAGCCATAGATAGTTTGGTGCAGAAGACTAACTTGCCGTTCAGCCCCTCGGTTATGAAATGCCCCTTGCCAAGCAAATTTAGAATGCCCTCAATTGAAAGTTTCGACGGAACTAAAGATCCCATCGACCACCTTGGAGATTTTTTAAGCGCTAATGCATTTGCACGCGATGCCAGGTGAGATCATGTACAAGGCTTTCCCAACAACTCTCAAAGGATCAGCATGAGTGTGGTTTAACAAGCTGAAGCCAGGGACCATCGAAACCTTTGAAGAATTGAGTAACCGTTTTGTGGGACACTTCATTGCTGGCCAGAAGCATAGAAGGCCGGCTATCTACCTTCTTACTATAAAGCAGCAGAAATGAGAGTCACTGCGAGACTACATTGGTCGTTTCAATACGAAAATGTTGCAGGTGGAGGAAGCGGATGACAAGGTGGCTTTAGCCGCCTTTATGGGAGGACTCTAAACCTCGAGATTAAAACATATGAATGCTGAAGATGCAATGATGGCAAGAAAAGGGAAAGAAGGGGATGATAAGAAGGAAGACAAGAAAATGCCGGCTCTGATAACCAAAGATGAAAAGGAAACCAAGTATAAGAAACCTATGATCAACCAGAATGAAAGGGCGTCTCGCTATAAGAGCGCGGAGAGATATACAAATTACACTCCTTTAAATATGCCAATAGATCAAGTTTTTCTGCAGATCCAGGATGAACCATATTTGAAGTGGCCACCAAAATTGAAGTCAGACCCAGCGAGGAGACCTCATGATAAGTACTGTAGGTTCTATAAAGACCATGGGCACGTCACAGAGGATTGCTTCGACCTCAAGGATCAGATTGAGACTTTGATCTGAAGGGTGCACATGCGAAAATTTATTGTGGGGAATGACAGAGCCGACGCTAATCTACTAAGAGCAGGCCGAGATAACCGCCTCCCTGATCAACAACCAATGGGAGAAATCAGGGTCATAGCCGGGGGATGTGCAGGTGGTGGAGAATCAAGCTTAGCCCGTAAGGCCTATGCCAGGAGAATGCGAAACTCATCTAAAGTTTGCGAAGTTGGAATACAGAATCCACACCAAAAAATGCCACGTCTAGGTGATCCTGTTATCACATTCTCAGATGAAGATATTAAGGATGTGCAACAACCCCATGACGACCCTCTTGTTATCTCCATGATGATCGCTAATTATACTGCTCGGCGGATCTTGGTGGATAATGGAAGTTCGGCTGATATCATTTTCCTTGATGCATTCAGCAAAATGAATATTGGTAAGGAGAAACTCAGACCTACTAGATCACCATTGGTGGGATTCACGGGAGATAAGGTCTACCCTCTGGGAGCGGTCATTCTTCCTGTCACTGCAGGAACCAACCCGAAACAAGTTACTATTATGGTGGACTTCCTGGTGGTGGATTGCCCATCTGCTTATAATGTTATCCTAGGAAGAACTACCTTAAACTCGATGAGGGCAATAATTTTGACTTATCACCTCTTGATGTGTTTCCCTACAGAGCAGGGCGTAGGCGAACTAAGAGGAGATCAGACCACTGCCAGAGAATGCTATGTTGCGTCTCTGAGAGAAAAGAAGCAGCAAGAGGCT